GGGGTGAGATGGCACAAGAATCATGTCCTCAGCTCCAGGCACATCTCCTGGCAATGATGCCTGGGCTCTGGCCTGGCTACCTATATGGCTGTGAGCCAAACCCCTCCAAGCCTCAGTTTACCCAGCACCAACCCATCTCCTAAATACACAGATGACAGATTGGCCTGAAACACCCTGAGACCAGGCACTGCCCACAGGTGACTGGGCAGGGTGGGCAATGGCTTGTCCCCACAGCTCGGACACGTGCACTGTGACTGAGGTGGCAACAGCCAGGTCATGCATACGGGATGTCTCATGGAAAAGGTCACACACCAGTTCAGGAGCAGGGAATTAACAGATACCATAGTAATTGGTGAAGCACGTGGCATGTTACGGGCACATATATGCCTTGACACCCACGCCAGAGTCATCACAGCACCAGATACTCAATTCTCCAAAGAACTCCCAACCAAAATCAGACCCAACACCAAGACATCCTCTCACCTGGACAAGGTGGACAACACCCCTTCATGCGCCTGCCAGGATGCCGGGAGCTCCTCAGGATCCAGCTGTCTGCCCACATCCAGCACAAGAACAATCCGAACCTTGTCTGGTGCCCCAGGAGCTCCTGCAAAAATAGCTTTCCTAACTGATGGGGCAGAGGAAAACTCCTGGCTCTCCCCTCCACACCCTCCCAAAACACCTGCTAACGCTTTCTGCCCCCATTGTCCTCCTCCTTGAAGGCTGATTTCTAACAGCCACAGCTGTAGCTTGTAGGCTCCAAATTTGGAAGCGGGGGCTGTGACACCACCTGGGCTCTGCCTCTCCTCTTGGGCCTGGGTTTGCTGTTTTGCAGAGAACCTTCTGTGGCTGCTCAGCAGGGTGGCTCACAGCTTGGGGCACTGTGCTTCGCTCCCAGGTCATTTGGATTGGGATACCCCAGGAAGTTTGCTTTCGGCTGCCTCTGGCCGTGCGTGGGTGTGCAAACAGTGACCAATTTCACTGCTGGTTTGACTCCTTTAAATGGGGACTTTCATATTTGTCAGGCTTGGAAAAACATCACCATCTTTTAAACAAAAAATCCATTTCCTCTTCCATGGGGAAGGTGTTTCTGTTTGCACTGGCAGGCCCTTCCCTGCTGCTGCGCCCAGCGCAGTTGTGCCGGTGGGGTTGCAGAAGTGTGGCTGTTCCACTGTGGTGGAACTATGGTGAGTTCCTACTATGGTGAGGATGCTCCAGCTGTGGAGCTCTCTCTGCTCCTGCTGGGAAAATGGGAGCCTTCTAGGAAAGCTGAGCCCTCTGCGCCAGGCTGGGTTTGATTTCTTAGGGAAATTGCTTCAAACAGGGCAGAGGATTCGCATGGGCTCTCCATGGCCCCTCATCAATGCCATTTGTGGTGCAGATTTGCAGCTCAGATGGTTCTTTTCCAATGTGATCATCAGGGTTACAAATTTCTGAGATGATAAAAGGGCAAATTGGAAATCTCCCTATGGAGTTTGCTGCCTGACACTCAAGTGCTCACCCTGAAAGACTCAAAATCCCAATTTCCTCTGTTGGGATTTCAGCTAGATGGCTTGGCTAAAATAAATGAGATTATTCTAATCAGAGAGATGGATGGAGTTCATTAAAACAGTAGATTAGAAGAACCCACTCTGCCTATTACCAGTGCTCCTGAGGTCTTCTGCCTTTCTGGCAAGTTAAAGCCACTCAGGAATTAGATTGCTTTGCAGAAATCTGCAGGAAATGCATTAAAAATACATACTGCTATTACAATTCTTCATGTAACCAGTCACTTGGGAGAGGAAACTAATGAAGGGAAAATGCATATATATTTAAATACTTACAATTAACTCCCCTGGGATCAGGATTTATGGGCTGGGAGCAGTGGGCCCTCCTCTGAAACAGAGACAAGAGCAAACTTAAGTCCCCTCAGGAACGGTGAGGAAAACGCTTTTTCCCCACCCTCACCTTTCTCACCTGAAGCTAAGGATCGGAAGGCGGGTCTGGCACTGCACAAAGCTGAACAGGGAGCACTGGGGGAAATTCCTGTACAGGATTTGGGCCAAACTGGTCCCATGAGGAGCGTTACTGGTTTTGTTTCTCATGACCAGTTGCTTTCCTGCTCACGAGCCATTCCTGTGGCTTTGAGCAGCTGCCCTATGCCCTGCCCGGGGGCTCCGTAACCCCCCAGCACCAGCCCCGGCTGCACAGGTGCTGAGGAAATAAATAAAAAAGGAAGTTCTGCGAGGGAGAAGAAAGGCAAATTGTTTACTGGCACACAAGGAGCCTCATCCCAGATTTTGTGGTTTTGCCCCTCGTAAGATTTAATCCCAATTTCAGCGAAGTCGAGGGGAGGTTACAGGAGGTGGCCGGAGTCAGGGCTTCCCTCAGGGCCCGCCAGAAAGGAAAACGGACAAACCCAGATGGACGCGGCGGCGGCTGCACGGCCGGCAGCGCTCCCTGCAGCCTCCCGGCTGCTCCCGCCGCAGCTCCCGGGATGAAGCGCCTGCGACAGCACAGCCGGGATGGCGGGGAAGGGGTGGCTGAGACGTGAGGACAGGGACGGAACACGCGCTGCCCGCGGGTCGCGGCGCCTGGACCCGCCTCGCACGGACACGCCTCGCACCGGGGCCACCGCCCCCTCGCTCCCCCCCCTCCCGCCTGCAATGGGAGCGTCCCGCCGCGCCGCCTCCGCCCGGCGCCCGGCGCGGCCCATTCGCGGGGCAGGGGGGCGCCGCCTCCCGCGAGTGCGGGGTCCGCGTATGGCGGGTTCGCGGCCTGGCGGGGGCAGGCGCGGGGCCCCCGGGGCGGTGTGACCCGGTGTGACCCGGTGTGACTCCTCGGTGTGACTCCTCGGTGTGACTCGGTGTCCCCCGTGCCCAGTGCCACCCCGGTGAGGCGGCGCGGGCGCCGCTCCCGGCCGGCACTAGGGGTCAGCCCCGCGCCGGGGATGGCGGGGCCGGCGGCGGAGGAGCGTCCCCTCACACCCACAGCAGGTGATTTGTCTGAGCACGAACCTGCACGTTTTTACTCAAAAGCTGCTCGGTAATGCTTTTAACCCCCCTTCCTCCGCATTCTTCTCTTACTTTTATCCTGCTTTTGTGCAGCCAGCCCTGCACCAGTTCTCTCCTTGGAGGAGCTACGGACTTACATTTCCATACTGACCGCTGTGCAGGAAATTGTCATCAGAGCGACGTGGGAGTGCCAGGGATCAGCTCCGTCCGCAAAGTCTGTGTGTGTATACACATATCTGTCTATAGATGTGTATATCTACATAGGCTTGGCTTCTCTCTGTCACGTAACAGAAAACGTGTGAGAATGGGGAAGGAGGTGGTTCGGGTATGACTCTAGAAATAACAAGAAAATAGGATAGCTCCTGAAATAAGTTGAAGAAGTTGGAGCCTGTTTTATTTATTCAATGCTTTATGATGTACTAAGAAGTTCTTAAATCTGGTGTCAGGTATGACTCACTAGCATGGAAAGATTTAGAGGCTCCAGCTGTGTAAGCTGTGACTATGACAAGAACAAAGCACGCTCTGCAGAGGAGCTCCCTCTGAGGTGTCGGGGTTTGAGCTGAAGAGCTGTTTAAGTGCCTGACACACTCTCACTGCAAAAACAAGCACTAGCTAGAAAAATGTTCTGGTGGGTCTTCTCTGAGGGCTTGGAGAGTTTCCCTGAAAAGTGCTGTGCTTCTCTCACAGGAGATTTCTCTGCAAAGGTTGATTGACCAATAATTTTCTGGTTTCATACTTTTACTCCCTGGAGGGCAGTGGATTCATTCCTTCCTCAGCCTTTTAATTTTCTTTGATGGACATAATTCTCAAAAAGATTTCCCCAAAGGCCGTTCCCCATTCAGGAAGAGCTGCTGGAAGTTGGGTGCAGGTTTGGATGTGTGGCACCAAACAGGCAGGAGTCCGGGAATTCTCAGGAAGCTGCTTCTCCCAGACACAGGCTGGATTATTTTTCATCACGTTCTCCGTGTACCAGGCAGGAGTGGAATCCATTCTCCAGTTTCTCAGATCCTGCCTCAGCTTGTAAAAGTCCACCCAACCAGGGTCAGTGGGAAGTGCCCCTTGGTATGTCAGAATCTGAATAAACCTCTAAACTACAAAAAGTAGTGGCCTTCTTTCCTCACGAAACCTGCCAGCATTTGAGGGGGAAGGCAAGGGGGCTGTGGAGCTCATTGAACTGCAGTGCAGCTCAGGCCTTTTTAATTCAAGGTGTTAATTCTGCCCTGGGCCTGTACCTCTGCTGAGGCGTCGGTTCCAGCCAGGGCTGTGGCTGTGAGGGATAAAACTGCACAGTCTTTCAAACCATTCAACCAGCTCCGTGTGTTTCAGAGTCAGCCTGAAAACCTGACTTGCTGAGATATTAGAAATGGAACATACAGTATAAATTTAGCAATCCCTGGCGTATTTAGTATTTTACATCAGCCAGATTTTACTCGACATGAAAATCTGAACTTTAACCTGTATTTAAATGTCTAGATTTCTTGCTCTAATTTTACATAATGAAACGTCCTAGTTCCTGGCAAGCCCCAGGTCTTCGCTGGGTAAATGCTACAAGCTATGGCTGCTGAAACAGGCCCCTGGAACTACTCACTGCCACGCTGCAAAAAAGGGATCTCGGTGGTTACTGTGACTACATTCGGGTCCTGACAGTTGCCAGGGCACAGTCCTTGCAGATGTACATTAGTGGGGGTAAAGTCAGCTTTTCTCACACACCATCATGCGGAGAACACACCCACAGTGGCTGCAGACCCTTGCGCTGTCTTTAACAGAACATGTGGATGCAATTTTATGCATAAATTAGTTTGTCTCAATAATATTCGATATTTGGGTCATTATGACTAGCTGCAAAAAAGAGCAGCTTCAACCAAAGCAGCTGCTCAGCCCCCAGTGCTGTCCCCCCTGCATGGCCCCAAACCGCCCTGGGCTGGTGCCCACAGGACAAGAACTGGTCTGACACAGACACCCAAGAGACTTGGGTACAACACTGAGGCCACAGACAACAGCACAAACGTGTGTCTAAGGTTGTTTATTAATTCGGTCTGTTCTAAGTTGTACAATTATGAAAACAACAAAACGACTGCTGGAAGCCCAGGAATATTTACAATCTCGCCTTGTTGTAGTGAGGTCAGTCTATGTTGTTGCACAGATTGGTTACGTTTGGTACCACAAGATGTTTAAAATTCAGACAAATTCGAACAGATTAACAATTGTATATACAAGAAATAAAAGGAAATTCAAGTATCAAAATACAGACAGATTAAATAACATTTGTATACAAATCAGCCCCACTGCCATACATCACAATTAGCAAAAATGTCCACATTGCAAACTGAACTTGACTGTCTCTACCCTGTCAGGGAATCCCAGGTTATTCTTCCATGGGTAAGAAAAATGTCTGAGCTGGGTTGACTTAGTGAGAGCAGCACAGGTACTTTCTTTTGGGAAAAAAATGCAATTAAGTAATACCAATGCGAGACCTAAAAGGGAGACCTTTGCAACAAGGCAGCGTTGTGAGCGCTGTACCGGCTCCAAACCACAGATCTGACGGCACGGAACTGATGTGAGCAGAGCTGGGGAAACGCTGCTGCTGGAAACTTGGGAGGTGGGTGGAAGGAGCATTAAAGCATTGGCTCCACCTCAGCTGCACACAGAACGGGACGTGTTCTGGTGCTATTTGGCATCTGCTCTGTGTCTCAGCAGCCTCCTGAAGGTACAGAATTCATGACATGTACAGCCTGGAAGGTGCCATATCTTCTCCCTGGGAAGGGGACAGGCGTGTACCCCAAAAAGGTTGCATAATTTCTTCTAAAAAGAACAATCCCAAAGCAAGTTTAAAGTCAGCGGAACAGCTAAGATTAGCGCTGTTTTTTTCTTTGTAAACACAAAATAAAAAAGGATAAAGCATCTTCAATTTGAAAAAAAAATAAAATCATCCCCTCCTATATAAAAAAAGACAAAACTCAGCATCTCCGTTTGCCGGCCGTGAGTGAGGGCTCAGCCCACAAACCAAAGTCTGTGAAACACAATCTGTCCTTAAAGAGGGGAACAAGGCCCAGGGCAGCCCCACCTTCTCCCAGGCAGGTAAATACAGCAGATGCAGTTTGATGCAAAGTCATATTCAGCACCAGAAATTTGGGGCACTTTCCTCCAGATACCACAAAACCCTGCAGGGAGGAAGAGCCCGAATACTGTGCAGTGGGTGGGTTAATGTGGCCAGGAGCCAGCAATTGGCACGGCCCAGGGTCAGTCTCCAGCACTGACTCCCTTGAGAGATCCCACCGCACTGAACGGCTAAAACAACTGTTCTGTCAGGTGAGAAAGGGAGTATCTGGCTAAAGAACGGTTGGATCACTAAAGACAACCACAGGGTTACACGTGGGGCTGGAACGGACCACCAGGGTCACCGAGCCCAGTCCCTGAAGATTGGAGTCTTCATCACCATGTCACCTCCAAGCCAACCTCCAAAAAGCTCACGTGTCAGAAAAGAAACCTCCCAAACAGAGGTTCAATTTGCAATCTCGCCAACGACTTGTTGCCAACACATCAAATATTTACACTTAACACCAGTATGAATTGCAACATGTGCATAACAAGGAATGTTAGGTTTCCTAAATTCATCAGCTTCACCCAAAATCTTCACTTCTCCCTCCCAATCCTTTACAGGTCTGAGCCCTCAGGATCACGGTTTGCTTCTCTCCCAGCCTCACTGTGAGAGAGATTAAAGGAAATCCTGACATACAGCAGCAACTGGAGTTAAACAGGAATTACCTGGGCACAGTGTTCCCGTGCAGCAGCAGGTCCCACAGCCCTGATAAGGCCTGACAAGATCGTAACGGACGCACTGCGCTACATTTTGCATCTGAAGAATTTAAATCACAACTATATTAATATTCTCCCCTGAGGGGAACAGTCTGAAAACACGTCAGTCACAGCCCAAACCACTGTTAAACACTCTGTAATTCAAAAGGAAAGCAAGCACACAGCACCTTCGAGGTTGTGTCTTTGGGGACACTGGGCTTGCACAGGGCCAAGCCACCCTCAGGCTGATGTGGTTTATCCTCAGGAATGGACTGTTTCAGTGTAATGCCCAAAGTTTAACTCCTTATTTGTTCATCTTCTGAAACTGTTGCACTAATTAAATAATGAGCTAGTATCAAAAAAGTGCTAAATCACAATTGAATATACTTAAAAACCCCCAACCCTTCAGGGCATAACTGCATTTAAAAACAAGACAGGTGCACAGAGGCTGGAGGAGGGAGTCGTCCCCAGGAATTCAATGCGGAAATGGGAAGAAACGGGGTCCTTGCCACAGAAATGTCAAGTATTGCAACGCGACAGTTCAGGGGATAAGGAAGCTTTGTACCATTGGGGATATTGGCCACAACCGCTCTGGGGGGAAAGATCCTTTGCAGACTCTTTTCCTCAAGTTACTTCCATTTGCTACAAAAGCATGGAGTGGCTTGGAGAACAGGATGCAGACTTACCCCGCACGGTTCTCACATGGGAGGAAGCAATATCCAAGAGTTTGACGTTCTCTCCTGTTCACCCAGAGCTGAAGCAGAGTAAGTACCGTCAGAGATGTGCACACCATGCCCCTGCTAAGACTTTCTATCGTACTCCTCGCTGGACTGTGGGATTCTCAGTAAATATTTCGGGTTTTTTCCTCAACAAAAAGCTGCGGTGCTACATTGAAACCGTGAACTGCATTTGCTCTGTGTCATTTCACATGTTAAAAAAGAAACAGGTCGAAAGACGTTTGTCTCAAACTAGAAAAGGCGACATCGCTCTCTGCCTCCAAGTCTCAAGTTTCCTTCGCTAGGAAAGGAGAGAGTGGTTTTCCTCAGCGGGGGCTGAGTCCCTTCCCCCTCTGCTCTGGGAGCCCTCACCGAGCAGCCACGCACCCACTCCAAGGCAGCCGCCTGTGCCAGAGGGAGATGATCTTCATGTCAGCAGCCACTGCGTCCCAGGTCTCTGCCCCGTAACTACATTCCATGGTAGGAGACGGCTGCCTGGAGCTCAGCTTCGCAGAGGCAAACAGAAAGGGAGATAATGGAATGAATTTCCAAGTCATACAAAAACACGTGCTGGGAAAGACGAGGCGAATGGCCCCGGAGATGGGACACGAGAGCGAGGGCTACGGACACACACACTGGCAGTGTCGTGGCTTGGGCAGGGCTGCCTGTGATCCCTGCTGGGCTTGGTCACCCTTAGAAAGGCACATGCTCTAGTGACCCAGATTTAGGAAGTGTGGAGGAACCCGCCCTTCCCAGCTGAGAGCAGGGGGAGATGAAAAGCTCAGAGCTCAGACCCTCTGAAGTCGGGCGGACGTGTGGCAACTGCATGGTGAATGCCTACACGTAGAAACTGCACTGCCACCCCCACCAGTGAGGCAGTTTCTCTTTGAGGGATACAGAAACCTTAGGGCACTCTTACAGCTTGGAATTTTGCTGATGGAACCCAAACCCAGCCTCGAGGAGCACCTGAGGCACAGCAACGTTCTGTCCACAAGGCCTGGGCTGGCAGGGTGGCACTGCAGCACCTGGGCAGTGCTGGCTCTATATCAGGGGCTCTGTGGCACATGAAATGTATTTACTAGACTGAGCTTTCCTTTTTTTTCCTCCAAGACAGTCCTTTTACTTTTAGTCCTCTTGCTTGGATCCTCACTAGCGCAGCCCTCAGTCTGAAGTCAGTTTGCCACTCAGTACCATTAAGTCACAAATGACTTGGGAGATCAAACTCATTCCTGAGAAAGAGCTAAATAAAGACTTTGAAACATCAGATTTGGCCGCAAGTCTGGGGAAATGGAAGCTTCGAGGCAGCAGCTCTAAAGCCCCAGCAAAGCTCGGACAAGCTGCTGCTGCCCTTAACATGAGGAGCAAATAACCCAGGGCTGCTCCCTGACCTCTCTCTGCTGATGCCAACTGCTGCTTTCGGTGTCCAGCCCACACCTCCCCTCCCCAGCCCGGGGCTAACAGCAACATGTGCCTTTGGAAGCTTAACCACAGGCTGCCCCGTGAGAACTACGCCCAGAGCTCACGAGTAGTCTGATGAGTGTAAACAGGAGGACTATGGGGTGAAGAAAAACCTACAAGGGACTGAAATGCATGCAACCAACCCCCCCCTCATCTCCGAGGGGCAGAGCTCACAGTGGGAACGATCACACCCGGCCCAAACCAGCGCTCCCCCAGCGGAGCGGGTTCTGTGCCGGGCTTTGAGGAGCGAGGCTGCGGGCAAGGGTCACCGTGAGAAATGGAGTGCCCGCGTGTTATTTGCAGAGAGCATCACAGTGGTTAGTGTCAACTCGACTGGCAGGAAGGAGAGGTGAGTTCACTGAACAGTATACAGCCGTGGCTCAGTCGGGAAGAGGAGGATCTAGGAGAAGGGAGTGTGTGCACCGCAGAGACAAGAGGTCTCCATCAGTCCAAGGACAAAGTGAGATAGAAAAAAAGGCCTGGGGAGTGTCACATTGCCCCAGGGATTCACAGTGCCAGAGCGAGGGGGAAGACGTGAAAACGGCAGGCGGCTTTCCTGGATCCACATCTCCGACTCCCAGCCTGCCCTCTGCTCCTCCCGCCTCACGTTCAGCTACAGCGCGTTACCCTTGTTTCCGAGTAAGGAGATTCACAGTGTTCAGCAGCGATCAGGTACAAAAGCTGTTTAAGTCTACAGTCTCCTAAGTGCTGCTGCCTTGGACGTGGTGCCTACACGGGCTCAGGGCGAGCAGCTGGAGGAAGAGGGAGTTTAGAAGAGCAGACAGATCAGATCGCAAAGGCACGGTTAGACGGGGCGGACGCGGTGTCGGCTTTAGAAGATAGTGGTCTCATACTTAGTGCTGAGGGTCCGCTTGGAGTCCTGCTTGGGGTCCACGACCCAGGAGACACTGGCATGAGACTGCGAGTCTTGGTCCACTTCAGGGGGATCCAGCTAGAAAATACAGAGAAAAGGGCATGTTAGGTCACCCATGCTTCTGGGACAGAACAAGTGGGGATTCAAAGCACAGAGCAACTGCTGCTCTGCCTACCGCCCGTCCCAGAAACGTGCACGTGGGCAAGGAAGCAGCTCTTGCTGGGCAGACATTTGAGTCCTTCACATCTAAAACATGTCTGGCCACGTCAGTCTCAACCCAGCACCCCGAGATGACCTCCTGCATTAGGCTGCGAGTCCCTGTCACCCTCGGTGACAGCTTAACTCATCTCAAATAAGCATGAAAAATGGAGCGCTACAAAAACAGGAGAGAGGGAGACAGCTCCTGGCAGGTGAGCTCCCGTGTGATTTACTCTCCTGACCAAGCACGGCTCTTTCCTTTTGTCCTCCTAAATCAGGGTGCCACAGAGAAGTTACCACCACCAGCAAGAGCAGCAGAGTTAGCTGAGAGCTGCCACACTGCTGAGCAGGAGCAGGTGGGAGCAGCACATCCCTGGGGCTCGTCCGAACCCACGGCATGGGCTGGAACGAGCAGGGGGAGGACAGCAGCGAGGCAGGACACGGGAGCACAGCAGGAGACACGGGGAGTGGGGAGGCAGCCCGGGTCAGTTCGGAAGGGAGGATGGCAGGAAGAAGGGTAAAGACCTTCGCTCCGGGACTAACAGACTGCAGCGGCAGGTAGGAGGGGCGGTGTGTTGTACAGGTGTGACAGTAACAACAGCGGGTGTCGGGAGGGAGCGGCACCTGAGCGGGGGGAGCAAGCAGAACACAGACAAAAGGAGACATTAAAGGAAGACAGTGGTTTATGGCAGCAGTCCCTGCTCCTCAGCAGCTCCAGTCTTGGCTGGTTTTGGCTACAGAGGAATCTTGTACTGCAAACTGCAGGTCACCTATGGATCTCACTGCAGCTCTGCAGGGTTTGCACATGGAAGCTGTGCTGGACCCAGCAGGGCCCTTAAGCCTCATTCCACCAGGCCATTTCCACCTCTGCCTGCCCTCCCCCTACCGGGGGAAGCCCCAACCCCGCCGCAGGACTGACAGAGGCACAGACCTGCAGTGTCAGCAGCACCTGCACTGACAGGCACCTCAGCCACACCTGGGCTCCCCCCACCACCCAGGGGAGGTGTAAGCGTGTGGTGCCCAAGGGAGAGCCCAGCTCAGACCAGCAGTTGCTCCCTCCCGCACACACGTACCGCAGATTTCCTCATGCCGGCTCGCGGTTTAGGCACTGGTTTGGAAGATTTTGTTTCAATCATTTCTCCTGCTCCAGCACCAAGAGGCTTTGCTCTCTGGGCTTGGAGGGCCAGCTGGTAGGCGACCTCGAACGCCTGCCCCAATGTGAGGATGATCTCGTACGTCAGGTTCTTGGAGAGAACACAGAGCACAAAGCCGTCAGGTCACCCTGTGCACAGTCCCCACACCTCCCCCAGGACCTCCTGCCTGCCTCTTAGCCCCACCAGCACCACAGTTCAGCAGCGTAAAGAAAAAAAGCCCAAACATCTCATGCAGTTGATTTTGCCCAAGTATAAAAGCGAATCATGCTTCCAGCTTCTCAGTGAGTTAAAAGGTTGTTAAATCAGCCCATTACACTCACAACATAATTGAGAGCATGTGAGGGGTTTGTGCATGGCACATTCCCCAGAAGGGAAAGCTCCTGCCCTGCTTTATTCAGCGCTGGAGACTGCAGGAACGAATACTGTCCACAAAGGTCCAAAGTAAAGGCATTTGGAGCCAGCACTGTTTTAGGGTAGAAATGGTGAAGGAACCCTAGAAGGGACTAGATCCTGGTCTGTGACTCGCTAACAAAGCTGAGAGATAAAACAAGTGGACTGTAAAGGACTGGGAGATGCAATGCAGTAACCCACTCACCACATCCACAGTGCTGAAGACGTGGCAGTAGTGGTGGCTGGTCTGCAGATCCTTGGTGATATAGGCAAATGTGCAGAGATCCTCGGGGTCCTGAGCAGCACAGGAGATGTTCCGGATCTCGTGCTCAGCAATGACATTCTGCCAGGGTCAACCACAAGCACCTGTCACCCTTCTGGGGATGGCAAATACACCCAGCAAACGGTGGCTGTGGAGCGTGTCCTGGGGGCAGGGAGGGGGAGTCTCCCAGCTGGGCCAGTCCCAGCTCCCTCCCATGGCAAGAATAAATGGCAACATGGCCCACAAACAGCTAGTCTGCCAAGCCTTTGGCACTTAGGTAACCATCATCACCTTGGTGCTCCCCCACAGCCTGAGCAGTTCCCCAGGACCAGCCGTGGCTTCTGGAGCCACAAAAAGTGACCTGCAGCCCCCAGGCAGGTGGGACTGCAGGTCTTGTCCCTCCAGACACCAACTCCAAGGCATCTGCAGCTCACCTTGTTGGAGGCGTCGATGAACTTCACCCCTTTGTATGTGATAGACAAGATTATGGTCGGGACCTTCTTCATGTGCTCCGTGGATTTCTTCAGAAACAAGAACATTCAAGTGACCAGCTGTGAATAGATGCTCCCTTCTTCACCCCTGCCCCAGCCCACCCCAGAGACCCCAGGCCCATACAGGCAGGTTTTGGGGGTCTTGGACCAGAAGGAGGAAAGCAAGCTCCCGGTGGAAACAGAAGGGGAGGGATGGGGACCTGAAGTGAACCCAGCCACCCCTTCCCCAGTGAAAACACCCACTCTCCCACTGCACAGACCTTCCAGCTATGGGGAACGGTGCTGGGGAGGGGCAGTTCAGCAGCGACAGCGGCACCGCCTGTTTGGTGGTCTGGGCCCCCACAGGGTTTGGGGAACCACAGCTTCACTGAGATCCCCCATCCCCCAATCCACATCATCCACCACAGGCTGCAAGCGGCCCCAGGGCCTCCGTACCCTCATCTTGGCACAAGCATCCTGTGTAGACTCTGTCCCTCGGAGGTCTTTGATCAGCATGGAGCCCAAGTACTGTTTGAAGGAGGGGGAGATGTTAAACCCTGCCAAGGCAATGCCATGGCCCTGCAACTCCACATGCAATGGCCTGACCCCAGAGCCTCCTCATCCTCATCACACCCACAAGCCAAAAGCCACTTACATTGGCCTCGTACCCGCAGGACTCAAAGATGAGCTTCTCGGGCTGGTGCTGCCAGTTTTGGACTGGGGCATATGGGGCAGCCAGGCTGGGGGGGCGCAGGGTCAGCTTGGATTCCCGACGGTCCTCCTGGAAGGAAGAAACATGGATGTGAAGCCACAACAGGTCCAACCTGGGTTGAAACAACTCTCAGGAGGGCTCTTTGGGCTGAGGTGATTGAGGTTGGCAATGGCCAAGCCCCCCAGGGGCTGGGTGAAGGCAGCACATGGCAGATGAAAGTGCCAGCTCTGATGGAAGCACGAGCTGCCTGTTTTTGAGGTGAAACCGAGGCATAAAGGAGCCGCTGCCTCTAATGCCTGAGGAAAGCTGAGCCCGACCAGCTCTGCATCACCCTACCTCCTCCCTGGCTCCAGAGGAAGGGCAGCCTGCACAGAGGGCCACTGGGACACACTAAAGCACCCACTGACCTGTGCTTTGTAGCGCTCAGCTCTGGAGTAGGGAGCAATCTCAGTGCCACGGTCGTGTTGCCTCTTGCTGGTGTCCCCGGAGGGCAGCAGGAGATCAGCAGATCTGCCTGTGCAGGAGTCATTCTGGCTCAGGGGCGATGAGGTCTGGGACATCAAGTCCTGGCACTGAAAAGAACAGACACCACAAAGGCTTTCAGTCAGTTTGGGCTGTACCCCCCCATCACTCCCCTCTACATTGCCCAGCTCTGCAAAGAGCAGAGCTAATGGGGTCAGCTCCTGCTCTGGGGGCTCCTGCCTCAGTGCCAATGATCCCACCCTTTATCTTCTGCACGAGACCCATAATTTGCTCGAGGATGGTTTCAGCCAGGTATACAGCCCCTTCTGCCCAGCACACCTCTGCCTCTGTGAGCTCATCCCAGGGGCAGGGGACACACCGGGCTGCAGGCAGGGTGTTTACAGAGGAACGGGCTCCCCTAAAGCACTGAGCAAAGCACCCCAGGGTGCTGATGATCAGCCAGCCCAGGAGTGGAGCCCCCGCACAGCTGCAGCCGCATTAGTGCCATTTAGTCCCATTCAACCCACTCACTTGATTTGCCATTGATGTCCCTCCGCCCCCCGTGCCAGAGCCAGCCTGGATCGCACCAGCTGCAGCGCCAGGAAATGCTGCAAACGGCCCATTCTCTCACCCAGCCTCCCCGGGCAGCATCTCAATCAGCTGAGCTGCACCGAAGGACCCTTCTTCCCCCCCAGCCCTGCTGCCTTCAGTCTCATCCATCTCATGGGGATGAGCAGTGGGCCAAGGCCTGGCACCCTCCTGGTGCAGCACCAATGTGAACCCTCTCTGTTCTTGCACCTGAACCTGGTTCCTAAAATACCCCATGTGAGCAAGCAGGGCACAGCAGCCCAACTCACTTTGGCTAAGGCTGTTTGTGTTGGGAAGACTTGGGAATGCAGGACAAGAATGCAGAGCTCTGCAGCAGAGCAAGAACAGGATGCTTAGGATGGGGAAACTCTAATCATTCCAATTCCTGCTCCAGGAAGCTGGTTTGCAATCACTGAGAGGAGGCAGCAGCACATACCACCACACTCCTGAGCTCTCAGGGTCGCTGCGAGCCCTGTGGCTTTTGCCAAACTCAGTTCTCAGATGCCAGTTTTCAGGAAGAATGGGAACGTGACAGCTCCCTCCCAGACAACTCCCATAACAAGGGCCTGACATCCAAATGCTGCCACTCCTGCAGCAAAAATCAACATCCACGCATCTCATCGAGTGCTATTTGGCAGTGACAGCGTGAGCTCTCAGCAGCCCAGCCAGGCCAGGGAGATGGGTTCCGGCTCCCAACAGTGCAATCAAACACCAGGCCCCAGCTGCAGCCCTTCTCCAGATGGGCTGGGTCGCTCCTGCCTGCCAAAGACTGCTGCGTGTCTGGCCAGGAAACCAGGGTGAGGAAGTGGGCCCAGCATTCCCCTTGGTGCAGGGCAGAGGTGAGGGTGGCACCCTATACCCCTTCAGTGCAGGCACTTGATCCCAAGGAGTGGCCTGACCTTCCCTGTGGGACAGCATCCAGAGGCTGACCTGCAAGGGCTGGGTGTGACCTTCCCCCACTCACTGCAATCACAGGGTCACGCCTGCACTGGTATTTGCTGCCTGGGTGGCTGGGGAGGATGAGGTGAGGAGCTGAACAGACACACCGGACACACCAAGATTTCTCCCAGCACTGACATGCCCTCCCAGCCACACGAGCCAGGCAGGGACCACGAGCAGGGACTCACTCTCAGCTGCGAGAACCGCGGCGGCTTGGCCGGGGGCTCCTCGTAGGGCCTGTCTGCCAGCGAGGCGATGATCCTCTTCCGATGGCCCAGCAGGTTCACCTTCAGCACCTGCAGGGACAGACCGTGGTCACTGTGGGCTCTCCTGCCCTTGGCACGAAGTGGCTTCGTGAGACGACTCATGGCAAGTCTCAGCCCCAGGGAAGGGGGTAGGACCTTGGTGCCCTGGCCAGAGTGAGGCAACACTCACGTTTACTATCTCAAGCTCCCAGAGGTTTTTCACAGTGTCAATAGAGCTGTAGCCACTCGAGAGGAAGGACTGGATGTAATCCTGCAGCCCCAGGGAGTCGAGCCATGCAGGAACTGATGGCTGGCTGTTCCCATCACAGCCCAGGGGTTTCAACTGTGAAAGCACAAGAAAGGGGTTAAAAGCTGCAGATATCCTGAGGGATACGGGGTCAATGAAAATCAGTTTACAGCGCATCTCCACTAGCACTTTACAGTACCAAAATCACTGTATAAACAAGAAATGCTCTTGGGATTGGCAGGAGGAACAGCCACCCTCTCCCCAGCATGGAGCCACCACCATCCGCATAGCCTGGGAGACCAGTATAATCCTCCTCCTCCCTGCTATTCCCAGAACCCTTCCCATAGACACAGGGACTGGCTTTTGTTTTCCCCTGAGTTCACAGCCATGCTGGGCAAAGCCCTGTCCCTGCTCCATGGAGAGCATCGGTGCTCACCTTCGGGAGGGAACGAGCAGCCTGGAGCAGCTTCCGGCGGTGCTGCGGGTCCCCAATCCCAATGTCCCGAAGGTCCTGGTCTTCCATGACATTACAGCCCTGGGGGGGGGACAGGAGGGAGTGACACGGGAGCAGGGGACAACAGGAGCAACATCAGGTGCAGGAGTAGAGATCAGGTGGTTACAGCACCCTCCTGACCTCACCTCCCAGCATGTCCTGGCAGCAGGAGGAGGAAGGTGCCCAAGGCTGGGAGCTCTGCCCCACATACTGACCTCAGGCACCCAGAGGGCTGACACTAGCAAGGTTGTGGCACACGGAGCAATGCCCTCCCTTCCCACCCTGCTCTGGGTTCCACTTCGAGCCCTTAGCCCTGGGTCACAGCTTGCAGCCACCTCCCATGGGATGCACAGACGTGTTTACTGCCGTGTTAAACGTCCAGACAAACCCCAGCCCCCTCCATGCCCGAGCAGGGGCCTTTGGCTCTGCTCAACCTCCCTCCACAGCCACAGAGAAACCTGTATTGCCTTCCCTGGGAGCAGGGGAAGGTCAGGTGTCTCCTCCAGCCCCGGGCAGAAGGCAGCCACCCGCTCTGGCAGAGATGCTCCTGTCACCACACACTGCACTGTTAAAGCCAATTTTCTGCCCCCTTCCCCCTGCAGAGCAGGAGCACACAGACTCTGCCCCCATTTAAAAGCCTCCACCCACCACAACCTGATTCCCTGCCCTCATACCTGGGCAGAGCTCAGCGGGAAGCCTGGGCACGTCTCCCCACGGCTGGCAGAGCCACACTGCTGTGTGACCAAAGGTTTCAGCTCGAGCCCGAACCCCCTCCCTGGCCCTGCCTCCCTCTGCTCCCCAGAGAGTCCCAGCAGAAGGTCTGTGCTGACAGTGCTTCGCTGTTCCACATTTTGGTTTTTTAAGAGAAACCCAATTAAAGGCGGCTGTGGGGGGGTGGGCCGGCCGGGGTGGGGAGAAGGCGAGGGGCAGGTTGCCAGGCCTCCCCCACACAGGGCAGCAAGTGCTTCCTATTCCTTTCCATCCACACATTTGTGAGATTTCAGATTGTGTGCTTTGCTGAGTGAAACCTGCTTAAATGCAGCAGCCAAAGGCAGTGAGCTGCCCACCGAGCAGCCATCCCCACCCCGAGCATGTCCCTGCTCCTGCCTGGTTCGTGAGCCCCTGTTCAGCAGCATCACTCTCGCCCCTGCCACGGCCTGGCACAGTGACAGCAGGGCAGGACAGCACACGGCTCTGCCCAAGAGCTGCTTCCCTCGGCCGCAGAAAAGCGTTCAGGGAAACAGGGAATTAATGCCATAGGTAAGAGATGCCCAGGTCACAGGAGAGCTGCCCTGGAGCCCAGACTACAGTCACTTAGCAAACAGGAGCAGGGGTGATGGGAGGCAGAGGTCTCCACAGCCCGTGGCCGTGGCTCCACTGCATCCCTCTCCCTTGGCAGCCTGGATCTGCGCACACTCGATTCCTGGAGGGCTGGGGGGCACCACCATGGCAGAGCTCGAGCCAACAGCTGCAGCACAAAGACATTTGTCTGAGAGTTGTTTAAACAGCAGGAGGAGTCAGGACACCAGGGCTCACCTGGGTGGTGATGCTGCACATAACACACCATGCATGGATGGAACCATGTCACAGGAGCTGTTCTGTGCACCCCTCAACTGCACAAAATGAGTAAGAGGCAGACTGATGCTGAAGGCTCCAGGGTGCCCCTTTGGTGCACGAGAGCAGCTCTGTCAGATTGTAAACAAACCCCTGTGAGTAACACGAGGGGCTGCTGCTGCTGCTGGGGCAGTGACCTCTGGCTGGTGTGCAGCAGCATCCCACCAGAAAGATGGAAACATCCCTCCCCTTTCTCACAAATTTTAAGCCAAAGAGCCACATTTAATGTACATTCCTGTAACAGCAGGAGATTGTGTGCTCGGCTCAGGGGAGGAGGGAAGAGATTAAAGGGGATTAACTCCCCTGACAGGCACCTCACCTGGCACTGTTGATGCTGCAGCACTGCTGCAGGGGTTGCCAGAAGGTCCTTGGAGGCAGTGTACGTGAGAGGAATTCACCTCCCAGAGGGAGAGGCTTCAGAAGGGCTTTTTGAAAAGGACAAAGAGGGCTAGAGCAAGTGATGGGATTTCTCCTGTGAGAATTCTGGAGAGCTACTACTGCCCTGCCTGGGGAAGAGCACAGAGAGGGACTGAAGTCCCCAAGCAGGTTATCATCACACCTTGGGTACCCAAAATATGCAGTTCCTGATGCCTGAGCCTGCTCTCTCTCCCATCCTGCCCATCTTGGTGCCCTGCAGCTCCATCCCTCTGTAGAGAGCCGGGGTTGGGAGCTGGGGAGGCACAGAGACAATGCTGGCAAGGGCAGAGCTCACAGCCAGCCCTTCCCTTCGTGCCACCCAGACAGCAGGAACGGTTGGCAACCAAATGAGCTGTGACAATGGTGATGCGTAATTTTCATGTATAAAAACTAAAAAAGCTTGCTGAGCCTATTTACATTTTCACTCATGCTTAACTTTCCAACGTTGAGCCCTTTGGTGCTAATCCCCTTTAGCACAGCCACACTGCCACATGAGCAGCACAGGGATAGAGGCTCTTGCTCTCCCAGGGTACCAGTGCCAGCCCCACAGCAAGGCAGTAGGTGTTCTCCCACCTTTGGCATCTCAAATTCAAGGAAAGCTGCTTGCTATATAGCAAGGATACAAGGTAGTTAAATACTGTGAAGCCTACAGCTTTCTCCAACACTCCTTATTTTTATATGTCACATTAAATTCCCTTGGTGCCAGTCCATATTCCCCGGGTACTTAACAAGGATAGACGAAGCGTAGCAGCTCTGAACAAATCATTTCAGCCCCTGGTGCAGGAGAAATGTCCTTCAAACCCATCCAGATTTCATCTCCCATGAAAAACAATAATCTGCCACTAAAAGAGATAATTAAATGCAAAGACACTGGAGATCTTTTAACCTTTTGCCAGCTGTACAGAGGAGCTGCTTAAACCAGACTTTAAACCTGTCTGCACCCAACACACCCTCAGAGCCAAGGGGCAGAGCTGCTCTGCCTGGACCACTGCTGCTTTTTGGTTTTACCCAAAGGTCCCTGTTGGTGCTGCCACAGGTCAGCAGATGCCCTGATGTGGGCACAGACCGGCCCTGGCTCCCACAAGCCCCTCTCTGGGTCCTCTGAGGACGGGCTCAGTGTGGAGAGCAGAGCTCTGGGATGTGCTCTGGCATCAGCCCAGTCCAGGAGCCTCCAGCAGCAGCCTCAGAAATGCCAATTAGAATCAAAATGACTTTCCCAAGATGTGTTTCCAACTTTATTCCTTGTGACAAGTGCTTTTACCTTGCATGTTCCTCCCAGCTGCCCCACCTCTGCGGGCTGAGTGGAGCGAGGGTGGCTCGGGGCTGACCTGGGCCAGAGCTCTCACTGTCACCCACCCTGGGGGAGGAAGGGGCATCCACAGCCTCTTCATCCCAACACCTCACCTTGTGCTCTGTCAGGAACCAGTTATGGGCACTTCCTGCACTGCAGGCAGCTTGTGAAGGCTTTGTCCCTGGACCACACATTCCTGCACTAATCCAGGTTTCAGTGCAGCACCACGTGCACACATCCATCAGCCTTGGTAGGAAAATCTTTGGCAATTTTTTATTCCCAGAAGAACTGGGATGATTCCTAAAAAAATCCCCCAGAAAGTAGAGGCTGAATTTTTTTCTTGGCAATGGACACAGGAGCACAATTTCCTCCCTGAGCTCATGCACTCGGCCAGGGAAGGGACACGGGGAGCACAACACATGACCCGGGACAGAACTCCTCTGCTCCCGCTGGCAACCCAAAGAGCCGAAAGATCAGCTCAGTCAGACATCTGAAACCAGGTAAGGCGAGTCCCATCCCAGCTCCCAGCTGGCACAGAATGGTTGCTAAGTGGTCGGAGGGGCCTTCATTCCCCAACCTGGCCTCCAGCTTCCTCTGAGCCAAACACAGCCCCCTCTGTGGAGAGGCACAAACACACACCACCACGAGGGGCACTCCTGGCCCCCACCTCTGCCCTCTGCATCGCCCCGAGGGAGGGCAGGGATCCGCCAAGTGACCCATGTCCTCCCCTGGTCTACGCCGGGATGCTGGTGCACCCGACCCCCCCAGAGAAAGGAGTTCTTGGAGGAAGGGTCGGCTTTGGTCACGCTTCACCTCTTGCACTGTAATTAAACAGCCCGCCAGGCTCCAAGTTTGTCATTAAAGGAGAAAAGCACAGTCAGAGGTTACCTGGCAGCAGCAGCATCCCCTCCTGCTACTGAGGTGACCCCAAAGCGAGTGTGCCAAAGGCAGCGCTGCCAAAATCTGCCAGATTCCTCCTCCAGCAGGACACTCTGCAGGCATTTAACTACCTAATTTTCAGATGCTGCTTCTTCCCCAGAGCCTGGCGTCTGTCCACGCTCTCATTCCAGCTAAGGAAGGGCCTGAGGCACAGACTGTTCTGTGAGGGATGCGTGGCCAGGCCAGCAGTGCCGCGGCCCCGACGCCTCGCTCGGCTCACGCCGGTGCTGCCGTGAGCAGCCCCTGCCTCGGTGGTGGCCCAGGGGAGGACGGGGACCAGGACGGGGACCAGGACGGGGACCAGGACGTGTCCGCTATTAAAAGCGACAGATGCAAAACCCAAACACACTCCAAAGGCTCCTGCAAACATCCCAAGCAGAGCTCCAGCTGAAGGCTCTCGGTGCCTACAAGGCTCTTTTTCTTTTTCCCCCTCAGTGCATTTGAGACAATTTGCATCTTGTCGAGGATTCTGCTGTCACTGCTATTGCTCTGCTTTTGGCAACCAAAAGCCTGGATGTGGGAGATGGAGATGCATCCAGCTCAGCACAGACCTGGGTTGATGATCCCACAGCTGGGCCCCACACCCCAATCTCAGAGCTGGGGGACCCCACTTGGTCACATAAATCTGCATTTGTAATTGGCCTCACGATCTGCAGGGTTTGGTGCCTTCCCTTAATGGCATCTGCAGTCTGGGGTAGGTCAGTGGAAACTGGAGGAAAAGATTTGTTTAGTCACGGGCACGACAACGAAGCCTCAGCTCTCCACAGAGCATTGACTGGGG